TAAACATAAAAAAACTAAAACTAAAAAACTTTAAATAACTAAATTATAGTTTAGTAAAGTCTAGTCACTGAATTAATCTAGACTTTAGATTCTAAAGCATATTAAATGTTGAATATAATATTTTACACATTTTTATTGAAAAAATATTTAACCAAAAGTGAAAACAAGATATATCAATATTAATTAGTATATTTTAATTATTATTAATTTATGATATAACACATATTTTATTTATTATAATTTTTATACAGTATATTATATAGTCAAACAAATTTCATGTACAACGCATTATATAGATTAAAAATATATATTTGGTTTATATACAGTATATACTGTATATTAAGATATAAGATTTTAAAGAAAAATTGTTATAAAAGTGCTGATAAAACAATACAGATTAGGATATATTTTTTAATTAAAATTATATATTCTATTCTTATGTGTTATAAAGTATAAGTTATAATATGATGTATAGTTTATATTTTAAAATTTTACCCTATATATTCAAATCTGTATTGCTTGTAATAATTGTGATTATTTCAATAATTTTATATTTTTTATATTAAACACATTATTAAATATATTAAATATATTAAATAATTTAATGATTATTATATATTAAATAATGTATTTAATATTAAAAATATAAAATTAAATAAAATCATATAACAATTATTATCAAATTCATATGATTTACAAGACCAGTACATATGATTAGTGACAAACCAGCGATTATTGTCATACAGTTTGCATCAACATATGTGACATAAGATATAAAATACTATAAATATTCTGTATATTTGAATTTTGTAAATATTATAAATAGTAAAAGATATCATTAAATTTATATATTAATACACACTTTTTGTTTAATTTTAAGATAATCTTTGTAAATGTTTAGAATTGATGACAACAAAAAATGTAATGTTATTTTGTATTGTAAATCATACGGTAGTCTTAGTAAAACAATAGTGAAATGTGTGTTGAATATACAAAATGTCAATTTAATAATTTTTGTTTTAATCTAAAGAAAATATTTTTTGTATAACATTTAATAAATCATATGATATGATATATTATAGATTTTATAGTATAATTAGATTAAAGGTAAATATCTACTTTTTTGAACTCATTTTTTAAATAATTTATCTTAAAAAACAAAATATAAATTTGGTTTCTGTTTAGTATTTTATATTTAATTTTTATAATTTAAAATTATAATAATATAAAATATAATAATACAGTATAAATTTATTTAAATTAAGTCAAATAATATTATTTGATAGCAGAGAAAAATGCGAAAGAGAGACATCCATTGAAAGCAAATCAAAATAATTTCAAGTTTTAAAAGTTTATAACTAAACTAAACAAACATTATTAATCTACATTAATAAATATAAAATTTTGTTTTAATTTAATATTAATAATTTTAAATAAAACAAATTTTATAATAAATTTAATACATTTTTGAGAATATTTCTTATTTAAAAAATTATTTATAATATATAAAAATAGATAACATTTAATTTGTACGGTAATAAAACTCTTTTAAGGTTTCTTTATAAAATGAGCTATTATTATATCATTTGTAAATAAAATATTAACCTTTAAACGATAGATGTTTCTAAATAATAATCAACAAAAAATAAACTGATTTTTATACTAAAGGATTTGTCATATTTAGACAAATACTTTTAGATTTAAGTAAAACTTTCGTATTATATAAAAGAATAAAAATTAATATAAAAATTATTGTTACATAACTACAGAAAAAAGTTTTAAAAGATTATTAATTTTAATTAATCAAAATAACAGCAAATAATTTGGACACTTTTGATAAATATTATTAGAATATTAAATATTACATTACATTATACCAAAATAATGAATTTATTATTTGATATTTTTAAAATAATATTTGATTTTATTGCAATTTTTACGCTGATTATTATTATAAAATCACCATTTATATCAATTAATTTTAAATTAAATGATAAGATTTTAATATAATTAAACATTTTTGATTGTGATACTAGTTTCTTACAACTTTATATATCATTTTAAGTATCACTACTTTAAATAAAATCATATAAATTACAGTATTTCTAAATTATATACCTTTTAATACTACTATTTTGTATTGCAATATGTATTATATATTCCCTTAGAATATAAATTAAATTTTAATATAACAAAAATCTATTAGAATAATTCCATTAAAATTTTCATTAAAACTATATTAGCAATAAATCAATCAAAAATACATTTAATAAATGATTGTAATCTTTATAGTACTTAAATACAACAAAAATACAATATATTAATAGATTATTATATAATTTGTGAATAAAAATATTATAATTTCATGATTATATAGACATATTGAAATTATATATATAAATAACAACATATTTATACATATTTCTATTTGTAATCATCTAGTTAAATTTATATTATATTTTTTTACAATATAATAAGTAATATCTATACTTGTATTTAATTTTCAGCATATTTTAGTTTGTTATCCGAAATTATACTTAATATATAATAAGTTAACAAACTCTAGTAGTCTCTGATAAGACATTACTACAGTATAATAATTATTATACAAAACTAAGTTAATAATAAATATTGACAATAAACTAATTAGTAATGTATTGATTTTGAATTAAAATAATCATTTTTATGAGTTAACAGCAATACCTAAAATTTTGTCTAACAAAGTGTACTCAATACCTGATTTCTGCCATTTTATGACAATTAAAATTATTTTAAACAATTAATTTGTATTGTGTAAGAAAATGATAAACTTTTTTAATAATTAATATATATTTATAAATAAAATTTATAAAAATATTTTGTAAACACAATTCGGTTTCGGTTACCTTTGGGTGCTTCGCTATTATATATTATTGTCGTCTTCAATAAAACACTATTAAATGCATTGATTTAACTATTAGCGCATGAAATGAACTAAACTTATTTAATTAAAAAAACAAATAGTAATATAAATACATTAAAATATAGCAAACTATCCAAACTTTCAACACATCCTAACCCCACTCCATCCCATATCATCACCACATCCTAACCTCACACATCCCACCCAACCTAACCACAAATTAACCCAAATATAAGGGTATTATTAATATAATACATGTAGTATAGCATATAAAACCAATATTAAAAGCGAAGCCCCCCTAAGGTAACTGAAGCCCACAATTCATTAATATTTTACTTAATATCTAAAATAATCTGTTATTTAAATTAATATAAAAATATTATTGAAAATGTATGTAAATTTAACAATATTTCCAAAAATTAAAAATATAAAATACATTTATAGGTAATTAATAATAAATTAATATTTTTAGTGCAAAACTAATTTAATTGTGTTTCGTTTGCATATATTCTCCACTTTTGTATCAATTTATAGTTATTTATACATTTATTTTGAGATAAAACTCATACAAAAGTCATGACAATCGATGTCAACGAAAACCAAATTCAATTAGTTTTTCTCCTAAAATCTTTAATTAAAAAACAAAATCAAATAAATATTAATTAAACTATGAATTAATAATATAATTAGCATTTATTCAAAATTTATTAAACATTAAATCAATACTTAAAACCAATTTATGATATTATGATTATATAAACACTTGAATTGATTAGAAAACTACTAAACATTACTAACTATATGTAGAAAATGTTATTCAATTTGTTTGTAAACCTATTAATGACTGTCATATGACTGACCAACCATTGAAAGTCATATTTATGTCTTATAATCACTTAATGTATGGTTTGTCGACATTTTGTTCATCAGTTGATCCAAATGTATGAAAGCATTCAATTGAATGGTAGGTACGCCTCATTCACGTGCCTTACGGACAGTCAATCAGTCAGTCATACAAACACAACAAATGACGAAACACTACATTACTAGACATTAGCACTGCTTTAACAATATATACAGGGATTGTATGTCAATTGAAATTTATAGCTAATTACAATGCAATATAAAGTTAGCAATACATGCATTGTATTAAACACTACTATATTTGCAAACATTAGTCCAATAAGTCATTGCTTTATATATGAATTATCTCTAAATCTAATCAATTGTATGACTCCTAACAATGAGTTGATTAACAAAATATTTGATTTACTAAACAATCGGTCCCTTTGTTTACGTGATATTAAAGGGAGGACTCAATTGACTGCTGTTTTGTTTACTCGATTGCAATGCCAAGCGTTGATTGGCTGTCAATATAAAACACTTCGCTGTTTAAAAGGTATTATTTAGCGATCTATGGCTTCAATGCATTGAATTTATAATTAAAACATTTAAAAATTATATATTTCTTAACATATTTCATATATTTTTGTCTATTATTTAAAATTTAAATTAAACTAATTATTTAAACAATTAGTATTTATTAAAAATAATATTGATTTACATATATATTGATAATTTAATGAAAAATAACAGTATATTAACATTAATTTTTATGTATACAAAAATGGCATACTTTAGGCCTTTTTCATATCACATGGTTTTATATATAATCACTTATAAACAATTTGTCTAGAATTGCCACATGACTAATGCTATTTGCATACACACTGTAATCATTACAATGTAATATGATCAAGGTATCTATTATTTCTATAAGCTTTTAAATATTAAATAATTGCCAAATTCATTAAATTAGTAAATATATTATATAAAGTAAATTATATATATATATATATTTATATTTTCAATAAAATTGATTTAGTATTTATGTGAAAATTTTTCTTTGACTAATTATATGAAAATTGAATGATAATATTTTTAAAATCAGTAAAATAAATCTAAATTTTATTTTTTCAAACATTCACAACAATTGATTGACAATCAATTTATTAAATAAAATTAATAAATTGTTGAATTGAATGTAAATGCAATATAAGTGTATTGATGTTAACGACAAATAGTGAGAGAGAGTTTGTCCGGGAATGTAGTTTTGGTTACAGTGTTCACACTATTTATGAATTGCATTATAGATATATAGAGAGTGATGTCATGTGATATTTGGGAAAAAAGCAAAACATTGCACTTATTGACGAAAATATAATTTAATGTAAATGTATGGCAACTGTGAATGCAATTACATTACATTATTAATAATACTTTGAATCTATAACTTGTTATTGTATTGAATGAAACAAAGAAATATTTGATTGTATTTTCCATCTATTGTTTGCTGACATTTGTTAACATCTGATCCATACTTTTGACCACAAATTGTCTCAATTACTGGTTAATCAATTGCCATAAATAGTGGTAAACAAAACACTGTTTGTTTGACTTATTGTTTACCAACACTTGTGAATCACACAAACACATCCATTGTTGAAGATATCATTGGATGTAATTGTGGTGATCTTCATAGTTATCATTAACTAATTATTGATGATATTTTCAATTTGTTTTAACTAATAAAAAGACTGAATCGACTATTTAATAAAATTAATTATTTTGAAAATTATCTGTTTTGTCGACATTTTGGTGATATTTTCAGAGATCATTACAAAATAAAAGCCATTGTTAAGGATTACGATTATTTTGTTGGTATGTATTGATTATCAAAAATAATATAATTATAGTTTTAATGATATTTATTGATTTGTTTTTTAAATGAAAATAATTTATATAAGATTTTTATTATTAATGATTTAATGAGATATAAATTCATATGAATTGGTTTAACTCATAAAATCAATGAAACGATTAATAGATTGATTGATCAAAACTATTACAGATAGTAATGTTAATTATTTTTATTAGATATAATTTATATATGATATCATAACTTTTAAGGTAGTATTTTATTGAGGTATATATTTAGCGATGCATAACTTATTTTTTTGTAAAAAATTTTAAATGTGATTATAATTATAATTTGCATAAATAACTACAATATTATACATATATCACACAACTAACTCTTTATTAATTCATTTGCATTATCGTATAATGTATTTAAGTGTAAATTATATAATAGTATTAACAAGTGCACTGAAAAGTTAAATATTATAATTCAAAATAATATTTAGGTTAAAAACTTTTTAAATGAAGTTAAATATTATATAAGAAATAACTGATTCACAGGTTTGACTCATATATATATATATATACTTTTAGTTAGTGAGAGTGAGAGAGAAAAGCATTTCAATGAAATAACGGTAAAAGAAGTTGTAATTAATGACCGAAAAAATTGGAAAAAAAACATTTTGAATAATACTGTGTTAATAGTGTTATAGGTTTTGGCCCACAAACAGATGCTCTCAATTTGCTCATACATTACACATACTATACTATATACCTGTGTATCACATCATGTATTTATGTTATGGACTCGAAACTGGGCTTTAAATCTTGTTTTACTTATATTTTTTATATCAAACATTAATTTCATTCATACATACATTGCATTTCACTCTTCCCTTCATTTGATTTTATATTTATTTTATGTGCCATTTCTTCCGTATTCATATATGACATAATAATTATTATAACATTTATTATTATTATTAGGACCCAGTCGTTAAATTTATTATTATTTTATAACTGTATTTAATAGATAATATTAAATTAATATTTGTTTTTGCCTATTGGTGACACATTTGTTTGTTTACGTCAAATATAATTTTGCAGTTTATCTAAAAAGTGTTGTTTTTTGTCAAATTGTGTGATTTGTCGTTAATTAGTTAAAATTTAACTTTTACTATGAGTTTACCTGATTTTGTGTCATTTAAACAGAGAGTATTATATATAGCAGTATATTAATTCATTATTGTGTAGTTTATACGAAAATAAATTAGTTTATGGTGTTGGACACAATTTTATTTAAAGCTAAAAATACAGTATATATAAACATAATACCAGTACTGTATAAAATCTCAACATATAATAAGTTTGATATGAATGCTGTTATTTTTAACTGGAGTGCCATTTGTTAGTGTAATATACTGTAAGTTTATTTAGTTATTCATATCTCAATATATGCCATCAAATCATATGACTTATATGTTGTGTAAAGCGTTTCGCAAACAACTCATAATTTTTTCCTTGTTTTCTTGACTATAGTTAGTGTTTACTGTATTTAATGTTTATAGTATTTGCAATAATATGTAGTCATGATATTCACCTTCACTATTGATGGCAAAAGTTTGTGACCGAAAATTTGTCATTTGAGTTGATATTCAGGAAAATTTTGTCACAACTTTTAAATGTAATCATGTATTTGGTAAAAATTTTTCCTTATATTGTTAATACAACTATTGGATGTATTTATAATAAATGGTGTGTTGTCTACTTGTGGCCTATAAATAACCGATAGCTTAATACTTATTATTATTTTTTTTAAATTAGTTTTCCATTTCATGCAACAGACTAACAGATTAGCTATTTGTTATAATAATGTTTGTAAACAGTATTATCGATAAAACATTTGACAATTGCCTGACTGTATGATCATTGATATACACATGCATAGCAACAACACATACATAAAGCCTTACGTCAAATTAGGTCAATGCCTTACCAATAGACACATACAGTACATTTAGACAGCCTGTATTTAATACACTTTTAATGCCATATTTTTTTTAAAAAAAATTGCATACTCGTGCCACTAGTTAATTGATTTATTTATAATTACAAACAATAATAATAATATGTACTGATTTAACTATTATATTAGAGAATCTGTAGATTAAACATATAATTTTGTTTTGATTTTTACTTTTATTCATTTTCACTTTTAGATCATATGATTTCTTTATTATTCTGCTTTTATGATAAATTATATATTAGATTTGTCCAAATTATATAATGTCAATGATTTACTTGTTATAATTACAATTAAATATTTTGAATATATTAATTTTTTTTTTTACTATTATTTATGTTTAATTTAGTTTTAATTTAATTTCTATTGAAATATTAGTGTAATGTGCAAAATGCATTTTAAGGTTTTGGCAAATAATGAGAAAAGCTTTTAATATGTATCAAATGTTATGTAAATATTGTCTCTAATTTGAAACAGGATTTTCAACCGAATATTACAGTAAAAGGACGTCCAGAGACCAGAAAATATACTTTTGGATCATAAGATCATTCCTTAATATATACACTATTACTAGTGATCTAAAAAAGAAATAGCAGTTCTATAATAGTATATTAAGACACCAGTGTTGGTGTGTGGGTGTCGTCATCTAAAGATTGAAATATATATATATATTATCATTTGAAGTCACAAGTGGAGCATACATTTACCACATAACTATCAATCACTGGTCTTCAATTACAGACACCAATTGATAATATTGGATAAATGGTAGAACTTGACTCCAGTCAGACAAACACATCAAAACCAATAGGTATTAATTACAACAATTTATAAATTACTAACTTGTTTATCAAAATTAGTTTTTTGTAATATTTTTTCAAATTCTTATCAAATTATCATTTGTTTTGTTTTTCCTAATGATATTCATAATGAAAAACAATTTATTCAATTAAACTGTTTATTTTTCAAAAATTTAAGATATTTTATTAGTTATTTCAACTGATATTAAAGCAATATTAATTTTGCATTGACATCAATTGGCATTATAATTTGAAATGCTTGCTTAGATATGTATAAACATTTAATAATTTTTTATTACAATTTAAAAATGTGATTGTTTTCAAAAATCTGTAAACAATGAGAGGTTTTATTGAACTAAATCTGCAAATGTTTTAAATCGTGAAATTGCTTTATACAGTAATTCTATTTAAGTAATTTCAAAAACATATGTTTGCTTATTAATAGTCAGCAAATATTTTAACAAATTTATATATTAAAAATAAGTTATAAACACAAAATATAAATAATATACATTATAAATTTACACATATACACATAGTTATATATAATTAAATCTGATTAAGTATGATTAGTAAGTGTCTTTTTATTGATAAGCATATTTTATATAATGTATTCAATATAATTTGATTATAATTGTAGTAAATTATCATATTGTTTGTCGTTGTCAAAGTTATTTGTATAATCATCTAATACTTGCAATATATACTCATTATTAAATGCATTGGAATTTCAATAAAATCAAATATAAGATTATATTTACTATTAGTTTTTATTATTGTTTATTAAGCAAAAAATGATTTTATTGATATCTTATGTTTATAAACTTAAATATTTTTGGTCATCATATATTAAATGACAATGTGGACAATTGATTAAGATCATACCTGATTATATTATACCAATACTTACCAATCATATGATTTATGATTAAGCTATTATTAATGTTATTGTGACGTCAAAATAATTGCTTTAAATTTTATTATATTTTATAATTTATGACTTATTTATTATAAAACATCTGAGAAACTGAAAAATTGTTTATAAATAAGAATAATAATGTGATATTAAATGTTTTGATAATCAAGTGAAAAGTTTTTGTGTAGTTGTAATGTTAATAATGTTAGAAAGTATTTAAATGATTGGATAGAAATGGGAAAAAATTATAATATAGTATTTGGAAACTTGTTTAACAATAATTAAGTGATACATGAAATCGAAAGTGGCTTACCTTCGAAACAGTGGTGAGAATTGAGGTGAAAATAGTTATCTAAATGTAAGGCTTGGATTGAAATGAGTTAAAATAAGGACCCTTTGCCTGCATTTTGTGTTTGTCATTGACATAAAACTAATTTTAGTATAAAATCCGTTTTCATATACAGTCAAAAACTAATTTATGTTTCGCTTTATGTGAAGCCAAATGATTGCCAATTAGTTAAAATATAGTTTGCATTCACATGAGTGTTGACATTGAAGTTCAATAGTTGTTTCAATGCCTATAATCACTTGACAACTGTTGTCTACCAATGAATTGCATCACCATTTTCTTCATAGATTTACATCATTTAATTACACTTTAATACATTGATTATTTGTAGGAATTTTTTTATTTTTCAAAATACTAAATAAATATTTATTTACTAATATTGAATTACATAGAGAATTGATTTAAATGTAATTAATTTTTAAAAACATTTTATGACATTATTTAGAGACAGACATTTTGGATAATCAATTAAACGGTGGAACAGATGATGTTTCACATGAAGAACCAGTTGACTCGATTACTAACAAATACTTATTTAAACTTTGTTTACCGCAATCACAATCCCAACCGCAACAGCAACAAAAAGTGATGGCTTTACACAATAACAACGATAATAATATTACTTGTTCTCAACAAAACTCAAGAAATATCAATATAGAGAGCGACCGATTCTGGTTCGACCAAAATGTCGAAAATTGTCGAAATCAAAATAAAGTGAATCTATCGGCTCTTAAACACGACCACCCTTTGATTGCTTCAGCAGTAGATAATATGGGACACAAGAGTGGTCTCTGTAGTAACGAAAGTATTTTAGTGGCATCGCTGCCACCATCTGAACCACAGACTCTATCACTAACGGCCCAACAATTTGATACAACTGATTATAGCTGTGACAAGAAATCTCTGTGCATACCATATGGTTATTGTTATGACGATGAAAAACTGTCACAAAGTCAGTCACAATTATCACTTAATATCCCTGACTTGAAGAGCCCATTATCAATCACTAATGATAGTGATTCCGATTGGATGTGTGATTCAACAAATGTTTACTACAATGGTGTTAATGTCATGGGTTATTCATATAATATCGATAATATGGAAAATGAATATAATTTGGAAAATGTGTTTCAAGTGGACAAAGCAGACATCAAGACTGGTCCAACATTGGCTCAGCTCAATGCCAGTCTCGATGCGTGGGATAACATCGATTTAGATGAACTACTAGACAGCGCTCAAATGGATAGTAAATATAGATCTAAGTTTGGCTATAATAATGGTCAACGAGTGAATACCAATTTGGCTATTAATTCATTGGATCACGAATATGACCCAAAACTGCAGGAAAATATTGAATACTTGATTTCGTATATGAAAACTCCGATAAACAATGTCAATACAACTCCATTATTATCTCAAACAGTGACCGCCAACAGTAAACCTCTTCTCAATCCTAGTCTTAACACAATTACAATTCAACCGCAGACTGTATATGAAGTAACGCCGAGCACATCAAAAGTTTCCCAAATAAGTGCAACAATCAATAATAATGATAATAGCAATGGTCTGACTATGAACTCAATCTCTAACAATTGCAAGTCAACTGTTTTAGGTGCTCTTTTGGGTGGACCTACCGGTAAACAAAAGATAATAACTAATGAAAAAGCACAGCCAATGCCTCAGACCTCATCCACAGTGATCTCTCAAACGAAACCTATGATCAATGGAGAAGTGTTGACTCGAGTCAGAAATAACTCGATTAGCACCGAATACAGCGCCTCTTCTCATGACGAGGGCTTTGGCTCTCAACCGGAAGATTCGGACAATGAAGAAGATATGGACTCTGATGATGAATCATTTTATGGTGATTATGATGCTTCCGACCTATTGGGTGCCACAACTTCTGATGATGCAAATAATAAATGGTCACTTAATATGGGTCGATCCAGAAAAGGTGGTGAGAAACGATATTTTTGGCAATACAATGTCCAAAGTAAAGGACCAAAAGGCACTAGAATTGCTTCAGTTGAAGAAACGAGTGATCCGCATATATTTAATGAGATCAGCGATCCTGTCTTTGCACCCGATTGTCAGGTCGAAGGAGTTAAGCACTCGGGAAAGGCTCGACGCGGAGATGGCAATGATTTGACACCTAATCCAAGAAAATTGTTGATGATTGGACTGGAGTTGAAAAAGTTAAGTAAAATTATTAACGATTTGACACCAGTTGCTGAGGTTCCAGTCAGTTCTCGAGGAAAGTCACGTAAAGAGAAAAACAAGTTGGCGTCGCGCGCCTGTAGACTCAAGAAAAAGGCACAACACGAGGCCAATAAAATTAAATTATTTGGCCTACAAATGGAGCACAAGAGGTTTATGGCACTATTGATCGACGCTAAGAAAATTATCCGCAATTATGCCCAAAACCAACCTAATGGTGACACGAATGCCTCCAAAACATTGGAAAATCTTATAAAACAAAAGGGGTCTAATGTTTTCGTGGCCGGTAAGACCAGTGAGTTCGTCAATCATATCCTCGACAACGTGGCGGCCGGTATTACTAATGGCGGTTTGGATAAAGTCTAAACATATTGCTTTCAAATTAAATGCATTGCTTATTATTGATATTTTTTGGTTATTCATAAAACTAATCATTTTTTAACACTCATCAAAAAAATGTTATTCTAAACAAAAATGAATTTTATTATATTTAGCAAACATTTAATTTTCAAATTATAGACTATTTTATATAGTGATTAATAATGAAAAATTCATTTTACTATATCTGAAAAATTTATCAATGCTTCCTTTTTTTTCAAAATTATTAATGTATATAATTTGGCAAACTATATGAGTCGCGGCAATCAAACAAAATCATAAAAACTAATTTAAATTATGAGGAAATTATCAAACAAATTGAAGTAAAGGTGCAAAGTGTCCGTAACTGACTGTGATAGCTATGAGTAGTAAGAGATGTGATGAATATTTTTATCATAATTGATATATTAATGTAATCGACACATTAGACACTGTAATAGAAATCTTATTCAATATAATATATAATTACATTTATTATACCTGTATATTATGTTTTTCATATATTATTTACATATATATATTCATGCATACATTTGAGTACAAATATCAATGGCTTCAGTTTAATTATACTGTTGTATAAATTATGTTTTAATTATATTTTATTATTAATTTAAATTTCTTTAATATAGATTTATATTGTTATTTTAAAGTTATATGATTTGTTAATTTTTTAAATGGGTATATATTTAAACTGACTTTATCTCACAAATTAATTAGCAATGTATTCATAGCACACATCATCTCATACCGTCAAAAGCCATAACAATAATTGTATTCTTATACTATATATACATATAATGACAAAAAATATTTATGTAATTATATATAATTAATGTTATATAATGTAATTATAAATACATGTAAATAGCAGATATATTATTATAAATATAAGTTATATCAAATCTGATAAATTATATATTTTATGTTATACTGATTATATAAATATTTAAATCTGCTGTAAATATACCGATAGTAAAGAATAGTATACAAAATTATGTATTCTTAATATTGACTAAATTAAGCATTACATAGATATTTACAAAAAAATGAAAAATTATACATAATAGAGATATCGTTAAAATGTATTTTTTGCAAATTATAAATTTTATATTTATATATACTGTACTACAGTTAATATACGGAAATGTTATTTTGTTGAAAAAATTTGATTATTAAAAATAAATTCAAATTTGTTTTCATTCTAATTTAAATTTCAGATTTTTTTTAGATTTTAAGTTTAAAATTTGAAATGAAAACAAACTTGTTTTTATAACTTTTTACGGAAAAAAATATTTTAATTCATTTATTCTGTATAAACTGAAATTATTATTTTATAAATTATAATACTGATTATATTTAACATTTAAATTTATATTAACAGTACTTTTATTATTTAACTTTTACAACCTTTAAAATTTTTTATTGAATCAATTTTAATAAATTTCGTGAGTTATTAAATTAATTTACCGGAATTTTAATTAGATTCAAAATTTTAACTGGGTCATTGTATGCAATATTATTATTATTATTATTAATATGAAAATATTGTTAATCAACGATTACTTTTATATAACATTTCTTTATTCAATTATATCATTTCTGTATTTGTTTTATACAAAATAATTTATGTTAAATAAAATGATGTTTTTGTTCATAATATAAACTTTATTTTATATTAATGTCTATTATTTTAAATGATTTTATGATTACCTGTAATTAAAAATGAATATAAAATATTTATTAGTAAAATATAAATTAAAATATAACTAATAGTATCTCCAAAATAATCTTTTGGTCATAACATACAAAACACAGCCAAAAAAGAATATTAAGGCTAATATAATAAGCACTTTATCGGTGATCTCTCGGCGACCATATTTGGTCAACAGTTTGCGTGAATGAACAATAAGATTAGACATCGATTTGAATTCTTCTCCTGTTTCGGTAACCATTGCCGACGAATCAATCAGAGTATGCAATGTCTGCTCACTTTGTGTCACCTGTGCGGCTAACAGTCGACTCACGGATTTCAAGTTATCGGTTATGGCATTTGACTTATTGGCCAATAATTCCCGATTAACTGAACCGACATTTCTATGTCTTAAAGATGTCTGTTCAGTGTTTATATTAAACAATTGTTCCCTTGTTTTTGTTGAAATGCACTTTTGACTGCCAGCTATTGCTTTTCTTAATGATATTGAGTTGGCCTCCAATTGGTTCCGAAAACCATCGATTTCGGTGTCCAATGATTTCTTTTGAGACACTGTTGACAACTCTTTAGATGTTTTAATCAAATCCTAAAAATCAGCAAAAAAATAATTTATTTTGCATTAATTGATTCAAATTATCAATCGATAGTAAACAGACATCAATCGATGTCTTGTAGCTACGGATCAGTTGAGAAGCTCGTGATATGAGATAATTGATGTCTTCTTCACATGTGTTGCACTTTGAAATGTCCTGAAATAACAAATGTCTTCATTTTAATTAAAAATTCAATTATTTATTACAAATGTTTGGTCACAAACATTGATCAATGCTTTGAGTTGTAAATCACTTTTAATGATATTGTCTTTATATGTCTTTATATGTAATGCCGTCTCCATTGCCATCACTTGACTGACCATTCAATTCAGTCAAAGATATCAATCAATTGAATGTCAAATCAAAACAACAATAAATTGTCGACAAAACAGTCATTCAGTCTATGTTTGCGTCACTTTATAACACAAAACTCAAGTAAACATCTCTACTAATAAAAGTTATGGTAAATACCTCTAAAATATATTCAATGATTGCATTACTGTATATTACTGTAGTTTTGGCGCAAAACATACAATTAATGTACAATTTATGTTTTACTGTAATCATACACCCATTATAACTGTTTGTATGGCATTGTATGGCATTTTTATATTATATTCATTACAGTGTATACAGTATTCAACTGTACTTTGATTTTTCACTTTTTGTTAGTTATTGAAATATAACAGCTCTTATTGGTGTTTGACTATAATATTACTTTATATTAAAATATTTAATAAGTGATTGAATTTAGCTTTTGTTTGGTTTGTTGTTTAGTTTGACTTCAGTTGTGTTACACGTGTTGGACGACAATCATTGACCACAAGTAAGTCTTAACCGATGGTTAATTCGGGGGGTATTTAACCACAAGAGTGGGCGCCCATAGAGTTATACACTATTGTTAACAATCAATACATATATAACTTATGTATATTTCTAATGTCATTTAAAGCCCTGCATTAACACCATTCACATACCGTTCCCATTGAACATCACACACATGTCTTTCATGTCTTTGTTTTAATTTTAATTGTTTTTATATTTTATTTTAAATTAATTAATTATAATTACATATATTTTTTGAATATTAATAATTAGTTTTTATTTTTATACCAATTTTTATTAAATTTATTTAATTAGTTTATATTTTACTTGATTTTAATATTTTATAAATTTTATATACATATCATATAATTTAAATATTAAATTAAAATGAGTGAAGATTTTCCTGAAGAGTGGACACCAATGAATGATGACTATAATAGTGTTGTATTCAACAGTTATACTAACGGACAGACCGGCGCTTACCTACCGGTCCGATGTCTGCCCTCCTATGGGTCTGTTATATGATATGTGTGATGATATCTGTGATGTGATGATGATATATGTGTAGATACTGTAGTATATGTCATACAGTTATGTGTTAATTGATTTATAATATTAATATAGCATTGAATCGATAAACATATTATAGTCAATATAACACTAAAACATTTATTTTATTAATATTTGTTTCTCACATTAATTACATATTTGTCTCATTTTTTAGACTACTAGAGCCAGACCTAACTGTCCATAATTTGAATAACAATAAAATATTAATATATTTATTAGATGTCATGTTTTAAACAACTAATAATTTATTTGTTGTTAATTTGATTGTCAGTAATAGTGAGTCGTTTCCCATCAGACGTACCGATACTCTGAAGCTATTAATCGTTGGCTTTCCTTCAGATATAACTGAAGTGAGTATTGATTTTCATTTGGCTTTTAATGACTTAGATCTGCAATAAATTAGAGTAAAGTTTGATAGTTATAGCCATTACTAAAATGCATTAAACATTGCATTTGACACACAGTTGTTAAGGATATAAATTGTATACCAGAGCCCACTGTCTACCAGTGCCTCTCATTTCCAAGTATTCATTGTTTTATTATATGTTATCCGATATATGAAACCATTTAAAAGCAATGTTTGAACTTATAGTTGACTACATTTGATGGTTTGATTGCATGACTTGACATTAGTCACAGATTTGAATGAATTGTTTGAACTGACAATCAGTTTCATGACTTCTAGTCTTACATTACGTCCTATTTTATAACAGATTGGATTCAAATCTTTTCTTAAACGTATTGGTTGCAAGTTTTCGACATTTAAATTGGTGACCACTTTGTCCGGACAACGATACAGGTAAGACTTATTGCAAAAAACGGCTGTTTTTAGACTAATGAAATTAATTTATAGTTTTGCCGATTTTGAAACCATAAGAGAGGCTCAGAAGTCAATTGAATTGATAAGAAGCCAAAAGACATACAAATTATCTGTTTGTTTTGCTGCCACAGAAGCCCAACAAGAAGAACGAGAGTTAGCCATTAATGTATGTATTGTTTGGTATCATTAAGTGGTTTATTAAATAAATTATAATTAGCGAGAAAACGAAAGGTTATATCAGAAGAATTTGAAAATGAAGCCCAAGATAGACATTGGAAATTGTAATGCCATAAACTCGAACCATATGAACGGTTCTTATCGTAATCATTCAGACACAGCAAGTCTTAGCGGTTCGACAGAAATGGAAGTCCTCTCCCTATACGCTAAAACCAACAAACTTTTAAAAGTGTTGGAAACAGTAGCCGATGAGTGCACTGTTTGTATAGCCAAACCACCTGTAGAGCACTTGCATTTCATTATAAATGAAAACCAAGTGATTGATCCAAAAGAAATGCCGGCACTCATTGATTTAGGTATTTCGTGTCAAACATGTGGACAAAAGGCGGCTAATTTGAAGCTATGCTCTCAATGCAAACGATCACATTATTGTAATACTAAATGTCAGACAAATGATTGGAGTCAACACAGATTAGTTTGTAAACAAACAATAATCTCTGGTCTTCGACCCGAAACCACGACTACTGTTGCTCCCATTGGACCCACTGGTGATTCAATTGTTAGTTTAAATTCAACTAAAAAGATTAGCCGTACTGTCGTTTCTTCTCCGACACCACTTACAAGTTCTCCTAAAGTCCCGAGAGTCACAACTCCTGTCCAAATGTCACCTCAAAAGTCAAATGATTCGCCAATTGTGGTGCCGACACAAAAGTCACCAAAGGTTTCGTTTATTAAGACTTCAGTCAATGATATTTCCAATTCAACTACTGTTAAACGCTTAGATTTCAATGAGGGCAACAAATTTAAGCTCATCTCAATCTTAGATAAATTGAATGGAAAATCGGTTAAATTTATTGTTACCGAACAATTTGATGCCGAAAAATCATATTATTTCTCTACAATTTATGATCCAAGTATTGGACAAGTGGTTCAACAGTTGGCATTGGACTACCCGACTAAAAATAAGGTCTCACCAAAGGTTGATGAAGTAGTTGTTGTTAAAGGTTCTGATGACGCGTATTATCGCGCTTACGTCTTAGAGGTTAATAAAAATAGCGCTCAAGTTTTGATGATAGACGACGGCTTTATTGAAATGGTTGACTCCGATAACTTCTATGAATTGGAGCCCAAGTATCTTAATATTCCGGCTTTTAGTGTTCTACTCGTTCCTGACAGTGAAGAAGCAGTTTTATATCTTGATTTGGCTGTCGATAAACAGGACGACTTTCACTGCGAAGGAAGTTATACCTTAAAAGATGACAATTCATATATTCAAACGGACAGTATATTTATTAAACTGTTGAAAATTGATGAAACGGTCAAATTTGTCAAAAATCCTATTAATAAGCCAAAAGAAACGCAAAAATCTGCCGAAAAGTCTGTTGTCGACTATTTTCAAGAATTGTCAAAAAGAACTCTTGCATTGGATGTCGAACATCAACTAATGGCTGTTTATAAGGATGAGACCGATCCTAAAAACTTCTTTATTGCTGCAGAAGGTATTGTTTGAATATTTAGTTATTTAATGAATAATTGATACATTTCTTAGGTGGAGATTTTGAGAATGTTATGGTTGGTTGTCGTGGACTCGGAGAAAAATTTGACGATAAAGTTAAAGTGAATCCAAATGTTGGAAAAACTTATTTGGCAAAGGCTTCCGGTATTTTTTTTAATCATTTTATATTTTTCTATAATTTATAAATATTTATGTTATACTGTAGATAATGATTGGTATCGAGCGGTCGTCAATAGTGTGAACGGAGATACAGTTAATGTTCAGTATTTGGACTTTGGAAATAAAGAAGACATCGAAAGTAAATATTTGATGAAATTGACATCAGAATTGAAAACATCAACTGTTCCCCCGATTGCCATCAAATGTAAAGTAGACTCCACTAAGCTTAGCGATGAACACTTGAACCATAAGTTGGATCAGGCAGTTGACGGCGCTTTCCTTATTAAGCTTAAAGTTATCGCAATTAATGACAGTCTTCATTCCGTTGAAGTCTATTAAATGCAACCAAAATATACTTATTTTAAAGCATTTTAAAAATCTCATTACACTGACTATAATTATATTACTGTAATTATTTTTTAACATTGTTTTTTGCATTTATACAATTATGTAACTACTCTTCAATTATACTTTCAGTAAAATTTCTAACATTTATTACATATGAATATTAAGAAAGATTTATTAAAATATTATTGTTTTTTTTTATTAATAATTGAAATCAGATATTTTATTTTCAAATAATTGTTTTAATAATACATTATAAAATTGTTTTAATTCAATCTTGGTACTGAAATATAATTTTAAAACTTATCATTTATTAATAATTTGTGTTTGAATTGAATAAAACTATTTTGTCAAATATGATACTATTGTAATACTTTAGTTATAGTGTTGAACACAAAAATTGATGTCATTTAAAAATATGATTGGATTCATGACATCTAATAATTATTTATAGATATAAATAAATTTAGATGTTATCTAATGTCTTATCAATAATTAATTGATAGTTATTTAATATAATTATGTACTGTATATAAAATTTTGTAATTTGTATTATTTGACATATAATTAGCTAAACGGTAACGTTATATATGTATTGTATAATAGTATTGAGCGAAAGCTAACATAAAATAGACTTAAAGACAAACTGTAGTCGTATTCGTGTTTTGTTTGACTAATCACTGAATCAAACATTAAATCTAGTGTTCAATCATTACATTTAATAAACAATTGAATCACTGAATGAGTGGATCAATTAAAGTGACACTTAATCGGCCATAAGAGATGACTCTGAGGAAAGTGAAGGGCAATTTCGATCGTATTTTCGATAAAAATCTGTCAGATCTGGTCAGAGGTATTCGCAACAACAAAGATAATGAGGTATACCATTGATTGCATCTGAGTTTACATCTGATCCAAACCATTGTTGTTTATAATTATAATATTGATGTCCATTATTGCAGAATAAATACATTTCTCAATGTATTGAAGAGATTAAAGAAGAGCTCAGACACGACAGCATCTCTGTCAAGTCAAACGCTGTCTCAAAATTAACATATGTATGACTAAAGTGACCACCAATTGGTGACTTTGATTAACCAATTTGTTTATTAACTATTAGTTACAAATGCTTGGTTATGACATCAGTTGGTCATCGTTTAACATCATTGAAGTGATGTCATCGCAGAAGTTCACATATAAGGTAAACACTGTTTTTTTATTTGTTGTTTTATCATCAAATTAATTACTGGACATCTGTGCCGTACAGCGAATCGGATACTTAGCGGCTTCTCAATGCTTTCACGAGAACACGGATGTACTAATGCTGACCACTAATATGATCCGAAAGGTTTGACATATCATAACTGAATGTTTGACTGATTTTGTTGTTAACAGGATTTGAACAGTCAGAACATGTACGACGCCGGCTGTGCGATGACCGGTCTGTCTTGTTTTGTGTCGACCGATATTAGCCGTGATTTAGCCAACGATGTGCTTACTTTGTTGACATCAACGAAACCATATTTACGCAAAAAAGCTGTACTACTTATGTATAAAATATTTCTTAAGTTTCCCGAAGCACTTAAACCAGCCTTTCCAAGACTGAAGGAAAAATTAGAAGATCCCGATCCCGGTTTGTTTCACCCAATTAATATTCAGCAATATTTTTAAACATTTACTTATTACCAATACTGACAGGTGTCCAGTCAGCGGCAGTCAATGTTATCTGTGAATTGGCCCGAAAGAACCCTAAGAACTATTTGTCTTTAGCTCCAGTTTTTTTCAAATTGATGACCACATCAACTAATAATTGGATGTTAATTAAGATAATAAAACTGGTGAGTCATTGTCATTCAGTATCAATTAATTTCAGTAAATAATTTTTAAACATTATTGGTAATATAAAAAGTTAATTATAAAATAATTGATAATTATATTTTATTATAATTAAATGTTGATAAATGTGTTGACTTTATATGTGAAATATTGTGGCGCTTTGTCCTCATCTTTAACTCTAAAGTCTTATCTTATTGTCTAATCTCTTCCTGTGCTCTAATGTTTGACAGTTTGGTGTAATGACACGTTTTGAGCCCTTACTCGGTATTAAATTAAGTCATCCTTTGATTTCGATTATTAGAAGGTAATCACAAAATGCAGACAATATATCCTGAAATTATAACTTTGCTACCATTCCTTGAAAGACCTTTCCATTTGATGCCTTTTCTATATTTTTTCTATAATTTCGAAGTAATGTCTATATTGTCTAAATCTGTTTAACTAATAACATATCAACGAGTGCCACATTATCTCTTAGTCTCAATAATAATCAATAGATTTAATTTGTTATTATTTGATATTTATTATTATTAATATTTATTTTAATAATATTATTATTATTATTTAAAATTTGATTTAATTTTTGTAGAAAAAATATTATTTGATTTGACGATTGATTTTTACAGTTCGGTGCTCTGACCCCACTTGAACCCCGATTAGGCAAAAAACTGATAGAACCGCTAACTAATTTAATTCACAGGTAATCTCATTATATGTTTTGTTTGTTTTATTTTTTTAAACATTTTTGAATCAATACTTCACGCATCCATTTTTGCTTCATTTCTATATATTGTTAGAAATTGCAATTTGATATCAAAGTTATTATTGTCCAGAATTATGATATGAATGACATTATTAACAAATAATTTATTTATAGCACATCTGCAATGTCTTTGCTTTACGAATGTATAAATACTGTGATTGCAGTTCTCATATCTATATCCAGTGGTCTCCCCAATCATAACGCATCCATACAACTATGCGTTCAAAAACTTAGGATTTTGATTGAAGACTCGGATCAAAATCTAAAATATTTAGGACTTCTAGCAATGAGTAAAATTTTAAAGACTCACCCGAAGAGCGTTCAATCACATAAAGATCTGGTACTCGCCTGTCTGGACGATAAAGATGAGTCCATTAGACTCAGGTATTTACAGATTTAATATTAAAATGTATGTATTTGTATGTTTGCTTATATTGTTTACCTTAAGGGCATTGGATCTCTTATATGGTATGGTAACTAAAAAGAATTTGATGGAAATCGTTCAGAAATTGTTAGTTAATATAAATGAAAGTCAAATGGGAAACAAATACAGAGATGAAACCATTACAAAGCTCATTGATATTTGCTCTCAAAATGATTATCAATTTATTGCCAATTTTGAATGGTATAGCATTATAGCATATGTTGGATGAATGACTATCTAATTGATTGATTGATAATCACTAAACAGGTATATAACAGTTTTGGTTGAATTATCACGTGTTGAGGGCGGCACAGAACACGGCGGTCTAATAGCACAACAACTCCTCGATGTTGCCATAAGAGTAGAAGCTATTCGACCATTTGTTACGCGACAAATGGTTTGTCATTTATTTAATTAAATATATATCCAAAAAAAAATGATAGATATTTACCGATACTTATTATAATTTTTAGGCAATTTTATTGGAAAATTCTCATTTATTTTACAATTCTTCATCTGTTTGTGAAGTCCTTTACGCCGCCGCTTGGATTTGTGGAGAGTTTGTAGAGTATGTCCATTGAGATAATAATTAATTTGATTTTAATTATAACTGAAATAATTGTTAATATAATAGTCACATTCCTGACCAAACATCAACTTTATTACATTTGTTGACAACCACTATATTCCCGGCGCACATTACGGCTGTATTTCTTCAAAATGCTTCCAAAATTTTGTCGAAGATGTCCAATGAAAAGACTGATGACTTTTTTAAGTTGTGCGACGAATTGATTAGTAAATATATACCACATTTTCTTACAAACGAAGATTTGGAAGTTCAAGAAAGAGCATCAAGTCTTATGCAAATTATTCATATAATCAGAAGCGAAGACATAGATGTGGAACAACTGTTTTATGCGTATGCACTCAATCCTGTGGCCGCTAAAGCCCAACGAAAAGTACCAATTCCTGCTGGTCTTGAACTTGATTTACCATTTGTTGAAATTGATGAATTCGATTCAGAAGAAGAGACAATCGAAGAAATGAATTTTGTTGCCGAAGATGAGGAAGAAGAGGAAGAAGAACTGACTGAAGAACAAATTGAATACAACCGAAAGATAKCTGAACAAAGAAAAACTCAAATCGAAAAAAATCCAAATTATCTAAAATCTACTTCAAAGTCGAAAAAGAAACGAAAGGGCGTTAAGAAAGAGAGAGAAAATATTGAAATGGCTGAAGAAGTGAGAGAAGAGCCTGAAGTTGAGGAAACATATAGTGTAACACCAATTATTGGTAAATCAATTCCAGGCCTTATTTCATCTGAAAACTATTTAAAGAAAACAAAAACGAAAAAGAAATCCAAATCATTGAAGAAACAAATAGAAGATGAAGAGGAAGAATCAGTAGTACAGCAAATGGTAATTATCAAAGGTTTAGAAATGCCAGAAGGAGTTGATGCCAATGATTTAGAGAGTGACGATGAGTCGGCTGCAGATGCAGCACAAGACCCGCACAGAGCGCTCGCGAAAATTACTTTAAATGAATCAGATTTTGTGAATAATAGATATGTCTCTAAACATAAAAATGAATTTGATTTGAATGCAATCGAAGATAAACAAAAAAAGAAGACAAAGTTGACTAAAAAGTCAAAATCAAGTAAAGATAAAGAAGAGAAAATCGAAAAGAAAACAAAGAAAAAGAAAATAAAAACAAAAAGCAATGAATTAGAAAATGGAAATAAAAATGAAGAGAATGTGCGACCAATTGTCGAAAATGTTGAGTTGATATCAAAGATAACAGAGAAAATCGAGAGAAAAAAATCTAAGAGACCGAAGACTTTAGAATTAAATGGAGACAAGAAAAAGACAAAGAAGAAAAACAAATCAAAGTCTACAACTGTTTTAGAGACAACAGAGACCATTGACTCGACCCGAAAGCGCGATGAATATGAAGAGACTGCCGGTATTGAGACTCCCAGTCTTTTTGTGCCTTTGATACTAAATGAGCCATCGCTGACACCAACGCTTGAAGAAGTGCCACAAGAGATGGTTCCGTCAGATGCAAATGAGACCGAAGTAACCAAACTTGACATTTAATAATTAATTAATATTTTTTATCCATACAATAGTCGGGTAATTATCGCCATTGATTTTTAAGATACTTTTAATAAACAATATTATTATTATTATTATTGTATAAAAAAAGTCTATATATTTGTGAAATAAAGTATTTAAAGTTGTTTTTACTTTTTTCGACAAAACTTTGAAAATCTCAATCTATGGCTTAGTTAGTGATTACTTGAATATCAAAGTGTTATTAATATTACCAATTGATGTGATAATCATATGACGCAATGTTTGACAAACTAATCGCAAGATTGCGACAACTGTTTCATCGAAAGCATATGTATTACAGTATAGAGTAATGCAGTCATCATATGATTAGAAATTAAAACAAACAATAAATACGACAATAATTGATAACAAATCAAACATTTTATCACAAATTGATTGCTATTTAGTCCAATGTCTTTAAATTTAATTAGTGAACTCTTTGGTCACAACGAGAGAGTTTGGTGCGTACGGTGGCACCCGAGTGGACACATACTGGCCTCATGTGGCGCCGATAAGACCATCAGACTGTGGGCTAAGGAAGGTATTGTAGTATCAATTGATTTGATGGTTAATTTGTAATTATAATTTGATTAATGAATTTAGGAAACAATTGGAGATTAAAGTCTATTTTAAGTGATGGTCATCAGCGGACCATCCGATCGATTGCTTGGTCGCCAACCGGCAAATTTCTGGCGTCGGCATCGTTTGACGCGAGCACTTGTGTTTGGTTTCAAAAGGATGGAAATGATTGGGAGTGTGTGACTAGTCTTGAGGGACATGAAAACGAAGTGAAAAGTGTTTGTTGGTCGCCATCCGAGAAATATTTGGCTACTTGTAGTCGGGATAAGACTGTCTGGATTTGGGAGTCTATGGATTCCGACGATTTTGAATGCGCTTCTGTTCTCACAGATCACACACAAGATGTCAAACGTGTTCTCTGGCATCCCATTCATGACATACTCGCCTCTTGCGGTTACGACAATACCGTTAGACTTTACAGAGACGATGGCGATGACTGGATCTGTTGTGCCACACTTTCTGCACACGAGTCGACCGTTTGGGGTATTTGTTTTGATGCTAGCGGTGAACGACTCGCCTCATGTAGTAGTGATAAAACTATTAGAATATGGAAACAGTTTAATGATATCACAAACTGGAAGTGTATAACCACTTTATCGGGATTTCATAATCGATCCGTGTATGACATATCTTGGTCTCACTTATCGGACTATATTGTGACCGTCGGCGGCGATGACACGATATTTATATTTAAAGAAGACGACAACAATGTTTGCCGTGAAGTTAGTGACAAAACATTTCAAGAGTTTTCAATGATTCTTAAGCAGGAAAGAGCTCATCAATTGGACATCAATAGTGTCGACTGGAATCCCAAAGTTGACGACATTTTTGCCACTTGTGGTGATGACTGTTGTATTAAGATTTGGTGTTTCAAAGACCATCAGTCATAACAATTGTTAAATATATTCACTATTTGTTGATCATGTCTTTTCATCGATTAATTAAAAAAAATCTAAATTTTGTTTTTAATTTAATAAATTTTGTTTTATTAAAATTTTATACAATTTAATTAAAAATATTGATATTTGAAAAAATTAATCTTAAAATATAAATCTATTTTTAAAATCATGACTTATAAATGATCTCTAATTTATTTATTAGCGTTACTATGATTTCAATGAAATCAATAAAACGAATCTTATGTTAAAAGTACTGTACATTTACTGTAATAATGTTTAGTAGTTTTATTGAATACACTATACATTAAGGATTTTTATGTTTAACCCAATCAAATAAATTGTTATATTTATTTATATATTTCAATTTATTTAATTGAATATTTCATACTACTATTATATAATGTATAGTTTCAGTTATGAAACTAATTTTATTTCATTTAAAATGTATCTAAAAATAGTTAATTGAATTTTTTTTAAGTTTTGATGGATTCACTTTCTGTTGAATATTGAATTATTATTTTTGAAAATGAATGATAAAAAGGCATAAAAAAGTGAATTTATTGGTAAAAACTATTTACACTATAATTGATTTAAAACTTTTTTTTTTAATTTTTTTTCTGTATTTTTTCAGTTAATAGTTTTTTGGTCCACTTTTTAAAAGTAAATTATTTATATTAAAATTATAATTTCAATCAAAATGAAAATAAAACTGCATTTATAACTTTTTATTATTATTAAAATAGGAATACATCTAAGTTATTAATACATATTTGTAAAATTTGTTTGAATTAATTTAATATAATATGAAAACCTACTAAAGTTTTATTCAACTTAAAGAATTTTAGTAATACAAAACTGTTATAGTTAATAAAATGATTAATTTTAACATATTTTATTTGATAACTATGTATAAATTTAAATGTCAAAATTATTAATTATTAACAAATATGAAATAACCTTGATGATTTTATTAAGCAATACCAGCAAGATTCTCAAAATATTTATAATTTATTAAAAAACAAAATAAAAGTATGCTAGTTTATAAAATCATTTATTTTTATAATATAAAAAATTTTACCAATTAATTAATCATAAAAATTTAATAATAGTAATAAATTTTATTCAACTAATTTGATATTCACTTGATTATATAATATTTACATCTCTCTCTCTCTCTCTCTCTCTCTCTCTCTCTCTCTCTCTCTCTCTCTCATCAATTATTATAATCAAAATAAAATTGATTGCATATGCTGTAGGTATTTAGTAGTAGACTGGCTCAATGTACTGGCAAACATGACATTTATCCTTGATGGTTTGATTTTTTTGACAACCTATCTGTAGAAATAATAAGTTATGGAGCAATTTACTAATTTATAAATACATTGTGTAATAATGTACTTGAAAATCAAGGTATTATTATAATTTATAAAAAACATTAACTAATTATATTTTAAATGAGTTCATCTAATATTAGTTTTTTTTAAAAAAAAGGAGTAATATTTGGTATAATATTCATAACTTATAATTATCAGTAAATTAATATAGAAATCGATTCAATACGTGATTGAATGTTAAATATAGCTATTAGTTTTACAGTAGTTATTTACATCAAGTATTATAGTTTTTTGTATAAAATTATTTGATCTTATATACTGTAATTTTAAACTAGGTAATATTATGGATCATAATATAATTTATGATACTGAATGAATTATTTAATATTATATACTATATGTACTATATAATACAGTATATATGCATACTATACAATGTATAGTATACTGTATACGGTTTTAGGTACTTATTTTGATGTTATCATGATTATCTTTTAAAATTATATTTTTATATAAAAATAAATAATATTATAATAATACTATTCAATTATTTTCAATTATTTAAATATTTGTAAATATAATTTCATATTAATATTTAATTACTTTTCGTATATATTGTTTGTTAGTTAGTATTTTTTATTAATGTTAAATTATATGAAGTGATATCATAATTAGTTTTAAAAGTTTTTTGTGTAAATTTTTTTATTATTTTTAGTGTGTTGAAACACACACACACACACACACATTATTGATATTATTTTTATCAATAATTACTTTTTCCACAAAAGTTTTGACCTATTAATAAAAATTTATATTAAATATAAAATAAATAAAAACCTTATCATATGATATCATAAACTTAAAGACGTTGAAAAATATTATTTTGAGGTTCAATGTAATAAATGTTTTGAAATTAGTATAAATTGATATAATTAACAAATTTTCATTCAAAGTTCATTCAAATTCTTTTTTTTATTAAACTAATAGATTTATATATACAGATATATTCATAAATTAGATATTTCAGTATTAAACTTTGAAAAAGTTTTATAAATAAAACTAAGCAAACAATACTAATTCAATATAAAAAATTATATGTAAATTTGATAAAATATATATAATTATTTATAATTAAAAATTAAGTAATCGAGTACTTAGTGTAGGTTTATGTCCAATGAATTGCAAAAATAAGACTAATAACCAAAAAATGCAATTATTTAGTCATTACTATAATATTATCAATACATCAAATTGTGTTTTCCGGCAAACTCTTCATTTATGAGATTTGTTATTTGCATCAAATATGAACAGAGGATTCAATTTGCGGATTCAGAGAATCCAAGTTTTGTTTTAATTATAAAAATTATTATATGAATCAGTAATTATTTTACTTATAAATAATAATTGTATCAATTTTATCCAATAGTACATAATTTTAATAACAGTATATAATTTTTATATCTATATAGTATTTTGAATTTAAAATATATTTTATTTATAATCATTTCCAAAATGTAATGCTAAAACATTTTTTGTTTGATGTGTAAATGTTTGAATGTTTGAATGTTTGAATATACCAATTTTTATTATATTTTTATTTATTCAGTTATATACTAAACTTTAAATTATTTATTAATATTATTATGACGACATATAAATCATATGATAAATTTATAAAATTTTATGAAAACAAAATTGAATTGATTTTTTAAAAATAAAATATCTTCTTAATAATTGTAATACTTATATACAATGTTAAGTTTTATCTAATTCTATGATAGTTTAATCAAATTTTAAAAATGGATATTAAAAATTATATTTTAATACTATATTTTGAATTTAAATTTTATTTAATAGCAAATTCAATACACTACTATTGAATTTCATATATATATATATAGGGTTAAGCAAGGTTTTGGATTTTAGGGGGGTAGACTGGGGTGAAATTTACAAAATCTTGGGGTATAGACTTTTATTGCATTTTTAAACGGCAATTTTTTCACAAATCCAAAATCAAGGGGGTCAAGAGAAAATTCCCTAAAAATTCCTTAATTGCCGAATATTCCCATGTAAATTCCATAAAGTTCCCGTATAAATTCCGAGGAAAATAGGTAAATTTCCCCAAAATATTTTTAAAAATTAAAAAACAAATTTTAACAAAAAATAAAATAATGTATTTAAAATATAAAAGTAATTGATAAAAGCATTAATGATACACTGAGTTATTTTTAAAATTTTAATAATTAAATAATAATTAATGTTTATTGGTACATAATTTTATTTTTAAAATGTTATTTTTATATAAAAATTGACTGAATACTAATTATTTAACTTAATTTTTGTTAAAGTTTTAGTTATAATAATTATAAAATTGAAAATATTTTTTAATTATTTAATTAAAATTGTAAAAATTATTAATAAACTTTATATTATAAGTATTTATTGTTTTACTAACTTTATTTATCTTAAATTTCTATTTAAATTGTAATATGATTACTGTCTTTTGACAAATAGGAAATTTTTTATTTTTTATTTGAGTATTTTAATTAAAATAATGTTATTTTTAGATGAGTTTTAACGTGATTTTAACTATTTTACTTATTTTTAATTAATAATTAGATTTATATAAATTTTAAAAACATAATAACATTTATTAAAATAGTATTTATTAAATTTAAAATTTTCATAAACTTCAAAAAAAATTCGGCGCTTTTGGCGGGGGAGTCATTTCTTCTCCTTTTTAATCGACAATTTTTTCAATTTGGTCAAAAAGTCTGGGGGTAAAATCTCGATCTTAGGGGGTATTTTGGCCTTACCCTCTACCCCTTACTTACTTACCCCATATATATAATTATAAAAATTATTTACTGAATTGACAAAAAATACAATTTAACTTAAAATAATTTGAAAGGTTTATATCTAAACATTACTACTACTTATTAATGAAAGTAATTTACTATTCAATACATACATACAAACTCTTAATATGAGGACAACTATGTGACCGACTCTGAGATTTTGGCAAATATTTAGAGCAAATCTATAATTAATTTTAATTTTAATCATATTATTGTAGATTAGCTTTTAATTAATTTTGAATTAAAATTATAGAAAATAAATGAATATTATATTATATTATATTTTTAAATATTTATTGTGTATCTATAAAAATATAAATAGATTATTATTAAACAAAATAAATTATTACTCATAAAGATTAAAGAAAAAAATAAAAAATAAAGTTATGATATGATATTAATTTAAGTGATTTTTCTTTAAATATTAATCAATTTATTAAAAATTCATTTGTTTATAAAAATTAACTGTATTTTTATAAATTGAAATCTTTTGAATAAAGTACACAATCTATAAATAGTGAGGCCATCAGATAAATGTATGTTTTAATCATTTTTGATTTGAAAACATTTATTTGATTACAATTTTTAACGATTAATCAGAGATTAAGAGCAATGAAAGTGAATGAAACAAGAATTACAGGAATTGATGTAAACATCTTAGAGGTGATTCACATATTACGTTCTCGTTTGGAGGAGGGGTGTCGACCAAAGCGAACTTTTGCAAACGAAAGGGGGGAAGGGTAGAACCAAGGGGTAGATCTTAAGAACCTTTGTATGTAAATAATTTCAGGAATTTAAGGGACCGCTGAAAC